CAACGTTCTCTCCCTCTCACCTCTGCTTGGAGAGAGGGAAATGTGCCTCCCTTAGCTAGCCATGTCGGAATATCCTACGTTCTCTCCCTCTCACCTCTGCTTGAGGGAGAGAAGTCGTACTTTCAACGGGCCTAGAAAGGAAATCACCGAGGGCGAGGGCTTGTTGTGACAAGCCCTAAATGTGGGTATACCCTGCAGCTGAGTAACCGTGTTGGTGGGCTTACTTACTTACTCCCAGCCTGCAGGGAGACCATTTTAGACTGCCAATGTGACCTTAAAGTCAATCTGCGGTTACAGAACGTTAACCCCCTTTCCTGCCATTCTACCGCATTCAGGTATACCTACGAACACACAAGCAAGCAAACATGTAACCGAGGTGGAATTCACCGGGTTCTTTGAGGATGCTGCACGGGAGACTGACTACAGGGCTAGCAAGAACACACGCAGGACACAGGCATTGCCGTCACACACGCACGGGAGACGATGGGCTGGGACAGTCTCTCTCTGTAACCTTCTCGCGAGCTGTCTCTCTCAGACTGTCTTCTAGACTGTTCTCCCAACCCACTGAACCCCAGCTTTTAGACCCTGTTCATACCAGACTTATATTTAGCGGTTTCAACCGGTTTTTCAAAAACCGGTTTTTTATTTAACCTGGTGTGAACGCAAATTAACCGGTTTTTTAGGGGTTTAAATCCGATTTTGAAAAACCACCTCGGGAGGTGGTTTTTGAGGGGTTTTTGTGGGGTTTTTCCACCGAAAACCTGGTCTGAACGCTAAGGGTTTATTGAACCGGTTTTGCGTCATAATTCCGGGGTCACGGGGTCAGCATCCTGACCGTGTGCGACCTACAAGCTTTTTTGATCGCGTTGTTTTGACCAACTTGAGTTAGTTTCCACTGTTTTTCCATGGTTTCTCTTCATTTTGCGATGGAATCAGCATATGCAACCTGGTCGGCGGACGAGACGCTCCTGATACTTAGGTTTGGAGAGCAGGAGTCGCCGAATTCGAAAAAGCTGGGGGGGGGGGCGAGGGCTCTACCGAAACAAAAATGTTGGAGGAGGCTGATTTCTTGAAGATAAAGGATCAGTGCCGCAGTAAGGTAAAAAAAAAAAATAAGAAGACGGCATACAAGTAAGAAGGCAAAGGACAACAATCGGAAGAGCGGGAGGAAGGGTTATTCAAACTGCAGTCATGGCCGATTACTAGTAATTGGATATTCACCGGACAGGATTTTTTAAAAAACCGGTTATCAAAAGTCTGGTATGAACGCTAAGGGTTTTAGCCGGGTTTTTGAAAAAACCGGTTGAAAACCGCTAAATGTAAGTCTGGTATGAACAGGGTCTTATTGTCAAATCCCAGACAAACCACAGATTGAACAACAGACAGTCGTCTGGCAAGGGTAACAATACAACATTTAACACCTATATGACATGTCCTTGATGTTCCTATCATCAAGGCCTCGAATTAGCATAACCAGATTATCACACTGGCCACAAAAACTTCAAAGCCGATGGCCTCTTACAATATACATAAAAAGTGTCATTTTCAACCCCTTACACCCACCCCTATTTAAATGCGAGCCGTCCCGGCGAGCGTACAACGTTTTTGTTTTGTAAACAAGGAATAGAAATACCGCAAAAATACATAGAAATACATAATAAAACAGGATACAAGCAATACACATAGAAACTATATAGGATAAAGAGTTCACATATCAATAGAGTTCGCAGTTTGCTAGACTTTTACAACTTCCAAAGTTCGTCAGAGTTCAAATCCGTGGAAACGTCGCTTCACGTCGACGTTCTCCGTCGTCAATTGGCCGTCGCAGCTCTCTTCTCGTCTCTAGAACTCATCTCTCGTCCCTCAGCTTCGTCTCTCAGCGCGCGTCAAGGCTGCTACCAGGTGGTGGTTCCAAGCTGTGCTCCTCCCCTCCTCCGTGTCGCTGCAAGGGGCACGAACGTCCGCCCGCAGTCGCCCCTCAGTTGCGGTAGCTCTCACCGGTCCTTAGTCGAAGGGTGTCCGGCGAAGATGGCGTCGCTTCAGGGGTTCCCGTTTGGGTTATGACTCGGACGGGCCGCTCTTCTGGGATCGGATGGCGCGGCGGTAATTGACCTCTCCATCGCCAAGCTTCGATGTCCCACGTGGACCTGTGCAGGAATTGGGGAAGAGAACACACAAACACACACACCAAGCCTGACCACCATACTCACAAATAACTCTAACTTCAACGTACGGGAGAACCAACTCCCATAGAACTCTGACTCACACCCTATTCTCCAACAAACGTAAATAAAGCGACATCAATTCCGCCGACCCAGACGAACTCAACTGACCGTCCACATCTATCTACAAAAGCTCAGTAACTAATTTAAAACTAAACAGTGAACAAATAAACTCTCATAAAAATAAAAGGCTATAATGCTTTCCTTACAAATCTCTGCAAACTAGGCCGACCGAGGCTCGCTCAATATACATCCTACCCTAGGAGCACGTGGATCTCGACTTCCCAGCTCAAACCACAGCATTCTGCATAGAGCTCCTCACAGCCTACTCTACTTGATTCGATGGAAACATTTCAATCCTCTTACACAAATCAGTGCTCCAGGTGATAAACATTTGCTTTCAAAGACAACAGCCAAATACAACAAACAAAGACAACAAATTTGGACACAACGCTAACTAACTAATAAATATTCAACCGGCCAAACTGCCAACCTTTTAGATGTTCAAAATCCTGGACATACTAACAACTCCTGACAGGGCACCCCTGTTCAAACTTGGGATACAAAACCTCAGACGTCCAGAAAAAGATAAAGATAAACCACTTCTAAACCAACTATCGAATACCGTTACTTAAACATCTGCATAAAAAACATGACAAGACTTCCAATCCCGGGCGACACAATCTCCTGAAGGACCGTAGCCCAACCCCCGAAGTCTGGGTTTCCCCGGAGATTACGTACCCATAGCAGATTTTCTTCCTACGTAAAACCTACATAATAAGAATCCTGACATCAAACCTAACAACCTCAACTAACTCTGAGCCAACAAAACTAAGCTTTGGGCGGTCTGACATTGTGCGCATGAAGTTCTCACACCCACCGCATTACACAGGCACACTCATTCGGCCGACTCCTCTGGTTCTGCAGTCCGGCTGGCCGCCCAGGTCTTCTCCCGGTCACGGCCCTGACGCCTCGTGGTCTTGGCTCTCCCGGCCCTGCAGTCCGCACCTCCATCATCAGACTCCCGCCTCTCCGGTGCGGCTCTCCAGCTTCGATCTCGCAGCGTTCTGGTCCCACAGTCGACCTGCCGAGGTCCGATTGTCTCTGGCGTCGGTCCTGCCCTCCCGTGCGCGGCTCCGGCCCTCCTGGTCCTAGCGTGGCTCTGCCCTGCAGCGTCCCCCTAGATGGTGGTTTAAACAGCATCCCATCCTCGTCGCCAAATGTAACCGAGGTGGAATTCACCGGGTTCTTTGAGGATGCTGCACGGGAGACTGACTACAGGGCTAGCAAGAACACACGCAGGACACAGGCATTGCCGTCACACACGCACGGGAGACGATGGGCTGGGACAGTCTCTCTCTGTAACCTTCTCGCGAGCTGTCTCTCTCAGACTGTCTTCTAGACTGTTCTCCCAACCCACTGAACCCCAGCTTTTATTGTCAAATCCCAGACAAACCACAGATTGAACAACAGACAGTCGTCTGGCAAGGGTAACAATACAACATTTAACACCTATATGACATGTCCTTGATGTTCCTATCATCAAAGCCTCGAATTAGCATAACCAGATTATCACACTGGCCACAAAAACTTCAAAGCCGATGGCCTCTTACAATATACATAAAAAGTGTCATTTTCAACCCCTTACAAACACACACACACACAGACAGACAAACACACCCAAAACAATACTTCCTTGCCAATAGATAATAATGGGTCACAATTATATCGGTTGGTATAGGTCTTGATCACTCGCCTGCTTGGAAATAGGAGGAACTTCGGTGACTGCCGCTGTCAATTTGTGAATTCTGCTTTCAACATGTGTTTTTCCCAACAAAAAAAATGTGTTACAAACTCACCTACTTGCTGTCCCAAGATACCTCCAAAAAATCCCAGACAGACAACAAGACGGAGGAAGAACAGAAACTTCGCGATCACAGCTCCCATCTTGGCCGACGGGGAGAAGACTCTCTGGTGATTTCGTGGAAAAGGCGACGTTTTATTCTCACTTTTCACGGGACTAAACTTTCTCACGCAGACCTAATTTCCGTGTGTCCAATACAACTCCGGACCAGTTGCGCAGGCTACTAATGTGATATGTCAATGCGCACACATCGGCAACACTTTGAACAACGCAACTCCTTAAACCGTGCCAAATTGAACTTTCTTTCCCGGTTATCCTGTTTTTTATACAATGTCAGTGAGGTTTATGTAAAACATACAAAGCCAAATCCTTAGCTTTTTGACCATATTGTCTTTCTTATGTCATATTTGCAGTGTTATCAAATTCTCATCGGATCTATCACTTTTTACTCTAACTATCCTTTAATGTAATTATGCAAATGTGAGAAAGTGATTGATTTTAATGGCGGTGGAAAAAAAAACTGCAACTTATTACAGACAAAGCGGGGTCTTCATGTTTGAATAATTAATACTTGCATATCAGTTTTGTGGTTAAAAGAATGTTAAAGTACATTGTTACTTTTAAAGTGCCTGACAATGGAACCTAGTTCTTTGTTGAAACAAAAAGTTAGCGACATGTAGTAGGTGTGCCTCTCTCTAAGTGTGTTGGACTTAGATAGCCATTTGTTAACAACGGCCCAGCTGGCAAACACCGATCGAGTCACAAAGTCAGTTCTGGGCGGGAAAGCTCAACAAATGCCTGAGAAAAGGGGGCGCTTTTAGATTGCCGGTGAAAAAACCCTTTGTACAGCTAACCATGTTGCAGTTCTGGTTTAACCCGCTATAAATTAGTGGCGTCCTTCCTTGTAAGGTAACCTATCAGAGTAACAGGACCGATGCTCGGGGCAGCGTTTGTTTTGTACGGTATTTGGATTGTGAAGATTTTCCTCTTCGTGATATTCAGTTGACCTTGAGCCATCCGCGACTGAAAAGAAAATTGAAAAGAGGGCCTAAAGCAAACAGAAAAATAACTTCTTGTTTTCAGTTATCTTATATGTTATATACTACATGTAGTACTAGTTTTAACCTCAAACAGTTTCGCTCTTAATACATCTCTCTTGTTCACCGTGTTATATTTTTACGGCGATGAAGTAGCCTTGGGGTCCGTAACTTCAGAAACCCCCATAAGGCGAAAACTGCTGTGTAGAGGATCTATTTATCAATTCATTTCTTGTTGCCCCTGATGAAACCTAGCAACGAATCGTCATAAATTGACGTTGTCATCCACAAGTACTGCGACTCGTCAGCTCTGCGCTTCATAATCACCGCCTTTCCGACTGAAGACCCGTTGTCGTCGTGCAGAGCACGCTTTTCGTCGTATCCGACCGACAACCCTAGAATTCCATCGTTACGGGGTTGGCTAATCTCCAAGCAGATCATACGGTGGCACTACTCATGATAGCCAATGAATACTGCCGTGCCACCGTATGATCTTGGAGATAAGGGTTGGCGGCTGGAGCGTTTAATGCGTACGCCATCAGAAAACCGTGCAAATTGATCCTACCAGGCCCGCCAGGAGTAATTATCAGAACCGCTAAAATACAAGAAGCGTGCGTCATTGAAGAATAAAAATCACCTGGCAGTGGGTAAAGTCTCTACCAGGATGTGTGGGTTGCTGGGAGAATAGTAGAAAAGTTGGCAAGAGGAGTTAGAACTAACCTCCTTCGCAGACTTGTGTTAAGTGTGTTTGACAAGGTCAGAACTTTTGTATCTCAGATGGGAGCCCCAAATGCGAACTAGTACTGTAAATGATTTAAAGATTGTGGAGTCAGCGTAACTTGATGACGATGTTGATGAAGATTCAAGTCCAACCACTCGCTGAGTCTGGTATCGCTGCCAGTTCGTACAAGCCCAAATTTCCCCCTGGCAGTTTGAAATCTCACGGTCCTACCACCAAGTCGAGCTTTTGAAAATGGCTCTGATAGGGCTACTTTCAGTAACCCTTGTCATCTGTAGCTTGCTACACAACGGCGTATCGTCAGCGGTGGAAGAGAAAAATGAAGAGGGTTTCTGTTCCCGACAGCTCAACAACAACCAGAACATCACGGTTGTGGCCGCGCCCGGGCCCGTCGGACCGAAAGGGGACATGGGACCGAAAGGTATGGAAATGAGAGTTACATACAGCAATCATGGCCTGGTATCTCAGTTACCATGCATGGGAACCACTAGCCTGGATGCTAGGCCCACGCAGGGCACACATGATAACTTGGGCCTAGTGTGCTATCAGACCCGGGGTCTGACATCCAGGCCAGGGAACCTTGCACACAGGAGAACTTTGGCCTAGTGTGCTATGGGTCTGGCATCCGTAGGCTAGGGAACCTCCCCAGTATAAAGGCGCTGGGAGTGTTGCCGTCCCGCCCAGGTCCCGATGATCAGTCAAGGATTTGTGTGAGGGTTTGATAATGCGTTTTCGACTTTCTTATGACATATCACTTCTATTTGAACTCTGTTCTCGTCACTCGATTTTACTAGTTTGTACGTTCGCAGGTCCCGCCGGCACGCCAGGGGAGGCAGGTGTAAGAGGCGCGCCAGGTAAGCTGGGCCCGGTCGGACCGAGGGGGAGCGGGGAGACAAGGGGAACGGGGACCGGCAGGTGAGAAGGGGGCACCTGGTACCAGCCCACCTGCTGCACCTGTCGTGGCGTTTTCCGTGGGGCGAACGACCGGCATTTCTCGGACGTCGTCTACCACGGTACTGACGTATGACGTCATCCTTAGCAACGAGGGAGCGGCGTACAACGAGGGGACCGGCAAGTTTGTGGCGACGGTCGGAGGCGTCTACTTCTTCACGTTTACCGGGAAGATACCAAATCCAGCCAACAGTAACTATTATCTCCGTCTGATGAAGAATGGGGAGAGGATGGTCAGCCTACACGAGAACAACGGGCCGCAAACCCAGTCCCAGTCCAGTAGTAACAGCGCCATACTGCGGCTACTTCCCCGGGACGAGGTTTGGGTGGAGCTAGACAAGGGCGGCCGCACTCTGTACAGCAGCAGCAGCAGGTACCTGACGTTTACCGGGTTTCTCATTCACGCAGACTAAAACAGGACGATTTTTTGCAGCAGGATTTTCAGCAAAGTTATGACAGAACCGACCGTCATCAATAAGCACCTACGACGCCAAGGCTACGATCTCCGTCGCAAGGACAAGCAAGGATATGCAAGAAAATACTAGAACTTATTTAAGCAGCAGATGCAACTCATCAGTATCGATCGCTTCAAGATTCTTCAGTGGCTATTCGATTGAAACTAAATATGTAGTTGAACAAGTATTTATCCCAAACTTAGTGAGTAAATAATCGGCTCGAAGGAAATTTTACCACAGTCACCGCTCTGAGCAACAGCCCCGCCAATGGAGCAGCAAAGGTCTAATTAAAGCACGTCTCCGTCTTCTAGTTGTTGCCCTTTTCTTCTCATTTATTATCTTCGTTTCTATGTCAAATTCTGTGGTTTATTCTGGTTAAGACCATAATTGTGTATTAACCGTTAATGAACGTGAAGGCGATTAAAACTTGACTACTAACAAGTTTCACTTCTGCAGCTACATTCTTGGTTACTTTACTAGTCTCCATGCGCTACACACAACTTATTAGTATCTTCCTATTTTCGATATTTTCTTAATTGTGATGAAGACAATTGATCGCCGGAACGGGTTGGTGTGTTCCTTGTCCTTTCTTTCAATCTACGCACACGTAGATACTAGTATGCCACGCACAAAATTTAGTTGCTTATGGAGGCGAGCTTGTCACAAGTACTTGTGAAGTCTGGCGTTGTTATTCCCAAGAAGCGACGGAAACTGTGCGTGCGTATGTTAATCATGGCACGGTAAGCTATTTCAAGAAGGTCTGCTATGTGATTAAGAATCAGTAGGGGATTCGCTGGCAGTGACAGTGGGTTCTCGGGGTTCCAATTTGTTTGGATTTGATGTGCTATGTGCCAACGCACAGGTGCGCACTCGTGTTTGCCAGAACCCTACAAAGAACTACAGAGGTCGAATTCAAAGCATTCTCCCAGAACTATCCCGTGGCAAATATATACGTAATGAAGCACCTCTGTTCCGGGAGGATGATTCAAAGTTGATTTTGCGATAACTCCGAGTCAGAAAATTCTCGATCCACCTGCACTGTAGTTAATTCGTGCCGTAGGTTCTGTACTTTTTCCATCAGAAATATATTTTTTTAAACGTCATCTTCAAGTGAATTTTTAAATTTCCTCTACTGGCTTCAATTAATATTCCCTCTACTGGCGACAACAGCAATACAGGTGGAGCACTAGGTAGCACTTCGGCTTTGTAATGTGCTACACACATTACAAAAAAGGTAATACAACAATAAATACAAAATCATATACTAGTATGCAGTATGCCAAACCTGCAGCTGATTGAAAAGTTGTAAAAATCTTCCCCAAACCTGTACAAATATGACCATAACCTTTGTAAAAAGAATTGAGTAAAAAAAAACAGCCAACAACTCTTTTATTCCCGTATTCAGGCAGAGCAGAAAATGACACTAGTCCATGTAGTTACTTGTTCTGAAACAATAATATTTCTCACGGCCCTTGGCAAGATCCCAATCTTTCAATATGGCAAATTGTTACTAGTTTAGCGGACCAACACCAGGTATGTTATCTGTCTATCAGGCCAATTTCTACTCTTTCTAGTCGCTTCTGAAGCCTGGTAGAGGCTATCCCTTCTAGTCTACCAGGCTTCGGGAGGCGGTCAGTGGAAAGCCGGTAGAAATCGGCCAAATAGAGAGATAACATCATGCCAGGGGAGTTTGTAGTCTCCAGCGGACCAACTTTCCTGGCATGTTATCTCTCTATTTGGCCGATTCCTACCCTTTCCAGCCCCCTCCCGAAGCCTGATAGAGGCTATCCTTCCTTACGCCTTCCCTCCTTCCCTCCCTCCAACACTGATGTAAAACAGCTGTTGCGGCCCCACCCCGATATTTGCATGCAGCCTCGCTTTGGTCCCAAACATGGCGGAGGGGTGGAGAAGTCCTCTGGAGTTGTGCTAAAATATGCATCGGAATTCGCCCCATTTCCGCTGAATCCCGGCGTCCCGTCCACAGCAGAACTTCTCCGAGAGGTAAGGAGGCTGTCTGAGTGTAGCTGTGGCGTAGATTTTGCGTTTTGTGCGGGAGGGCGGGTTTGCTGAGTGCGATAGTTTTTGTGGTGTTGCTCGTTGTACTGAAAAACGTAGTGTTGGTGTCTCCCAACTTCCCCGACCGGCGTGCAACTTGTGGCGAAAACGCCGCTCTTCCTGCCGATAAACCTCTTTATTTCAGCCACTTGAAACCCCCCACCTCACTCACTACACCTCAAAAACCTTCACAACAACATGATGGGTCAATCTGGTCACAAAATGAGCTTTATGGCCGTTTTTTTTGGGGAGTTTTGGGTCAGAGTTTTGCATGCACCCCGCTTTCCACAGTAAAATCGTTCTGCATGGTTTCGTCCCGACGCGGGCGTCCCGGCCCTGGTCTTTATCACGGCTTATCTACCCCAACTTTACCCGCACAGCTGGGGCGCTATCCTTCCCGTTTACCGCCTCTAAAACCCTCAACCCCCTGTCTTTCTTATACACAACAGTTGAGCGATCGGCAACAGTTAGGAGATTTAGCTCAGAGCGATTTTTAACGGACTCCGCGGCCTTGGGCGAAAATGGAGGTCAGACAACTTGGGAATAGCCAAGTTGACTCCTGTAATGATAGGAGCCCATTCACTCATTACTATGCAAACGACCCAAGTTGCAGCATGGGTCCAATTTGCATGCAGTTTGTCTTTCTGTCGCATATCTGTAAAAAGAAAGCTGGTTTGTTGCTGGTAGTTTTATTGAGTATGAAGGAAGGCTAATTGATACCAAGGCCAGACACCAGATTTCCTGACTACTAAATAAAAGGCTTTCCAGCTGTTTTGCATATTAGAGAGGGCAAGGGGTCAACAATTACTGCAGGATAGGTATTTTTCTTGCGAAGAAATGTTCTTTTTCAGTTGGAAAATAAAATATATATATATTTTTTTTGTTCGCCGATTATAAATTGTATTTTTTAACCAGGATAATAGAAGGGGAAGTTGATTAGGAATTATTTTGTTTATCTAAACTCAAGAGCTTATGGCTGAGTTTTTTTTATTTGCTTGTCAGTCCAATCAGGTCCTGAAATCCAACAGGCATAATTTGTGTTAGCCTGGATGTGAGACTTAGCCACAGATCTTCCTCGTTAAAATGTGATGAAATTCCCATGGCTCAAGAGTGTAGTGCTGATGAGCTGGCCTGTGTATGCCCTAAAAACAGTCTGACATCCTGGATTAATATCTGAGAATGTCCCAAAGTACTATATATTGTCCCCCGTTCTGAGTCTCCAGAAAGTTTCGCAGCTCATTAAAGACCTTAGCATGCACATAAATATTTTTGCTGGAAAACAACCAACCAAATCACACATTTTAAACAAATCTTTTTGCACGGTGGATATCTGAAATCAAGTATGTTTTAAAACTGTAACACTAACAGGCTTGACCCAAAAACTATGGTTTAGCTTGAAATATTTTTAGACCCCTTGTGGATAATTGTGTGAACTGTAGTCAATCCCAGAGCATTTCAAAACAATAGAGAGCAAATGCTTTGAATGTGTGAATATGTTTTCAATCAATCAAAATGCTGTATAGAGGCCCTTTGGGAGAGTAGCTGCAATACATAGGTACATTGTATGTATTGCAGAAATGCCATGAGATCATGACAAATAAGATTTGAAGAAAGCTGCAAATGTCTGTAGGACTGTAGGTAATGGTATCTACGAAGGGAATGCTCTTGATTTGAGTCAAAATTACTCAAAATGATGTACTGTTGTTGCACTGACTGTTCCTGTGCCTTGCCAACAGTTTGGACTTGTTTGACAAATTGAAATTGCCAGGGACAAATACCAATTTACGTGACTGTACTACTACTAGTCAGTGCATGTTATGTGTATGTAAAACATCTGATAAGAAATGCCTCCACAACTCAATTTACATGCTATTGTAATTAAAACCAAGAATCAAGACTCTATTTAATTTAGAAGGAAATATATGGATCCATGTGTTTTTGTCACTCAAAATATGTTTGCCTGTGTACATGTAACTTGAAACTGCTCTTGTTTAGACATTTTTACTTTCGCTTTTGTTTTCCTTACGTTGCCAATTAAGTCAACTTCAACTGGTGACAGTGTTTCTAGATTTCCAAACAGTACAGGGCTCAAAACACAATGTATAACACATGCACAATGCAGATTAGTACAGGTAAAATTGGAGTTGTGTTAGGTATTTCCATGCCTACCCCACCTACTACTCTGCAGTGGCCAGTATTTTCCCCAAAGTTGTCAGGGACAATGTTTTCCAGGGTTGCTAACCATTAGTCTATTCATGTTTGGACTACAAGACAGAAATAACACACATTATAGGCTTTTCAAAGCATCAACTTGAGCTGAAGAAATAAATTTTACACGAAACTACACTTTACTTTATTTTGCACACATTTTTGACCTTTTACATTCAACAGTGTAACAATGAATTGTACTAAAATCCTTTAAATTTAATATCCACTTCCAGGTAGCCTTTTATTTTCTTCCGTTCATCACCAAAAGTGCCTTGTGAACTATGGAGGGTGTGGAGCTGGCCCCACTGCAGCAGGTTGAGCTGGCATCACTCCAGCAGGTGAACATGTCCAACATCTCCATGGAGCAAGATGAGGAGGACCAGATCGCCCCACTGGACCTCAGCATGGTGTCCGGTTTAAGGGAGACTCCAGTGGAAGAGCCTGTACAGTTACAGGTAAAGTCTGAGGTCTTGTCTTGTGGTAGAAATGCTTAACTGTACGTTATAGGTGAGTCGATAATCGTGGTAAGAAATCAAGAACAGGCTAGGTGCTTTGGTGTTTTTTGTGAAAAAGATGCCACGATTTTAACCTTCAGCCTGCTAACTAGTGCTAAGGTAGCTGTTTGGCATCAAAGTTGTATTGGTTATAGGAAGGTTAAAGTCACTATAATGATACTTTACAATTTTGACCTAGCAATTAAGTGCAATAGCATGTGCATGGTGGGAGTAAGTGGGCAGTATGGGGAGGAATTCAGGAAGTGGTGTACATGTAAAATACCTGGGTTACCGATAATTACATCATACTATCCCTGCCAGTACATTTACGAAAACTAAAAACAGTGCCTAGTTCCCTGAGACCTGTGAACTTGAAGGTCAGGAAAACCCAAAATAATTCCCAGAACTTGGCCAGAAGACCAAAATATCTGACTTTTTTTTCCTTTTTAGGACTTGGGTGCCTCTCCTGAAACAACTGTGCAGCAATGGATGCCCAGGAAAGGCAAGAAAATGAAGTGGAAATGGCAGAAGTCACCCGGCAAGTCCTCTACCAAGTCTTCCAGCAAGAAGAGAAAGACAGACCGCAAAAAGGTACTGTTTCTGTCAACATTTCATGGATTTTTATGTATTTATGTATTTTCATGACAAAGTTTCATGCAAAATTGTGTCATATCTTTATAAATTAAATGTACTAATGATTTTATGTAGTCTACATGATACAATGGAGGAAAGTTGCATATTGGGATTCAAAACTGATTTTGAGCATATCTTTGAGGTAACTAAATGATACACAAAATAAAGAATGATATAAATCAATATATTGAAAGTACAGAATAAAGAATTGTTGCTATGAATTGTCAGACCCAGATTGAGATGATATAGGTCATAGATAATGTATTGAAAATAAGTTAGAAATAAAGGATAAAATCAAAGTCTTTATATTGATATCTATATTAAAGTTTTAATCCTTTATTAATGACATCTTGTAGGAGACCACACCTGATGAAAACAGTAACCCAGTGGCGGACGCAGAAGTTCCACTGGTGAACAGCAAGGAAGCCAACCCCATGGACGGTCTAACAGAGGACAACAGTGGAGAAACCGTCTTCCCAGATGACACCATCCCGATGTCTCAGCTCATGGAGGATGAAACGCCTCTCAGTTTGACAGCGCAGAAGGGCAGGCCTAAGAAGCTGGACATGCCCCCCATGCCAGTTCGAGAGGAGCCGCAGCAGATCCAAGTGAACGGGACCACCACCGTCTTCTCTGACCGTACAGTGTACAACTGTGACGAGTGTGCCTACACCACCTACAAGAGATACGCCTACATCGTACACCTTCGAGTGCACACTGGTTAGTAAATACTGAAGTGTTCCTGTAAATGTCCTTCGGCGTTTGGACGTGTCTTTCTGTGTCCTGACAGGTTACCAGGATAATTTACTCAAGATGTTCCCAAATTCTTGATAAAAATGGAAACTTCCATCCCCTGGGCCACATAGATCCACCACTTTGAAACACACCATGCTTGACAGATCTCTAATGCAGCACTCTAAGGTTGGCACAGCTACCAAAATCAGGAGTGTATTTTACTGGGGGACATTTCATTGAAGATCTCTTTAGTTACATTCTTCAAGGGTGGTTTATCTGAAGTGTAACCGACACTGTTACCTGTTACTAATTGTTTATTTTCTTGTCGTGAGGACTAGCGCTTTATAATAGCCTCCGGCTAGTTGGGCAGTCCTGGCTGTATATATTTGTTTATACAGTCTAATATATCAAATGAAATCAAGGGTGGCAGAAATATCTGTCCTGAAATTATGTTAATAGATGTTATTTTTGTAAGATTTGATGTAGATGTGCTTTGTGTGAAGTTAAATTGTCAACGAGTTACTCACTGCCACCCTGCTCTCGTTGGCGGACAGGGAGTGGCGCCCCTGCCCATTGAGGAGCTGTAGACCACAACATATATATACATACAAAACTTGCGACCACCCCCATCCAATACCCCAACTCCCACTGTGCTGGAACCCTCAAACGATTGAAGTTAGCGCGAAAAGGGAAGAAGAATAAGAAGAAGCAGATGTTTTAGATAAATCTATGATTGTTAACGTCTTTTTCCCACGTACAGGAGAGAAGCCGTTTCAGTGCCCGTTCTGTCCCCACGCCACGACCCAGGCTGGCCACCTGCGCCGCCACATGTCCCAGATGCACAGCGAGGAGGGCAAGAAGTTCGAGTGCGGGATGTGCAGCTTCTCCACCAACAGCCAGGTATGTCTGACTGTTCATCTTAGGCTCGCATGCTTTCATGGAGTTGGACTGTGGTGGTTATATACAGTTTTTTATGTTGTCTACCCCTATATATAGAAGTCTTGTTCCTTTGGGAAGTTTCATGTTCAAATCTCCTCAGTGAAATCAGTGATAAGATATGTTAACTCATCCAGGAATATAACTAAATCTTAGTTTAATCAATGCAACTGGAAATAATGACTGAAAACTGGAGTTTTGGATGTTTCGACCACTGTCCAGTGATCTTTATCGGTGAAAATTTTTTAAAGTGTATGTTCTCTTTGTTATGTTTTGCCCAAACGGAATGGGTATAAAATGATGCAAGTCTTGAGGTTTTGGATGTGGGAATAAATCTTGGTTTCGTTCCCTCCTCAGAGTCGGCTTATCAAACACATCAGGGAGCATGACAAGGAGACGCTGGAGGCAGAACAAGCAGCGGAGGAGGAGGCAGCAGAAGAACAAGAACAGGAGGAGAAAGATGGAGAAGAGGAGCTAGAGAAGATGGATGGAGAAGAAGAAGTGGGAGAGGAAAACATGGAGAAGGGAACTGCTGAAGGGGGGAAGAAGAAGAAGAAGAAGAGGAGGGGGAAGGACAAGAAGTACAATTGCGGAGAGTGTGATTTCAAGACTGCTTACCGCCACTGCCTGGTCACCCATCTCAAGGTAGCTGCTGTGAAGCATATCAGAATTCAGATTGTTGTTTAACTTGGACATAAACCTGTTAAGAGTTACTTAACACATTTAAGATGTTGTCAGGATTTTGTTCAATCCAATGGTCTGATGGTTGGAAGTCATGAACGTTTAACAAATAACTTGCAAATCCAACATATGCAATATACATGTAGTAATGTATGTTAAACTGTTTTCCAACTCAAGGATTTGACTCACTGAAATTTTCGACTTAATCTCTTGGTCTTCATCAGCTATTACTGTATTAGACCCATCCTTTTGACTTGGAAAACAGTTGAATTTCCACTATGTAATTTACCAGCTCTCATGCCGATGAAGATGAACTTTCATGCTTATAGTAGGAGTTGTATTATAATATTGAAATTGAGCCATTCTTTACTCTCGATCTACCAGGTTCACCAGGGCATCAAAGAGCACAGATGCCCACAGTGTGGCTACTCCACCACATACAAACACGTCCTGGCGCGTCACATGCTCAGTCATGACGGGAAGCGCGACCACTTCTGCGACAGTTGCTCCTTCGCCAGCCCGTACAAGTTCGTGGTGGCGCGCCACATCAAGCGCAAGCATGGCGGCCCGCGCCAGCTGGCCTGCGACCGGTGCCCGTATCTGGGATTCGATGCAGCGGCCATGAAGGCCCACATGAAGAAACATGACAACGAGGGACAGTACAGGTATGTTCTGTTAAACTTGCTCAAGGAAGTAGTTGGCATGAATATCCTTCAAAGCTATGTAATAAAGTATGGTTTAGTGCGCTGTGTTGGGAAACGTCTTGGGTAGAACTGTTTGTGCCTTATTGTGTTTTTTTAAACAAGTTTCTCAATGCAAGGCTCAAAGAAATGCGCACAACTAAGATTGGGGGAGGTACAGTTAACTATGCCAGGAGATGGCGGCAAACGTTCGTTTTGAAGGCATTCCGGAGGGAACTGCAGGGACACATGAGGAGAGAGTTCCATGTACATTGCTGACTTGTACATGGCTCACTTTAGACTAGATTTTCTTGACAGTGGTACTGGTGACAGCGGGAATGCTGTGTTAAGAGAATTCCTGACAGCATATTCCGACTGTTCACTATGACGTTCTGAAGTTGTCTGCAATTCTCTTTACATGGCGTTCCCGCTGTTCCGAAAATCTGTGTCTAAAATGGGCCTTACATTCAGAACAGCCATTAACAGCCAACACCCCCCACCCCATGTGTTCCTGCAGATGTAAGTTTGCCCCTCGAGATGAGGACCAGAAGCCTCGTGAGAAGATCCTGCTGTACCACTGCGACCAGTGCGAGTACGCCACCAACCGCAAGGACCATCTGGACTGCCACGCGGTAAGTCAAGAAGAAAATCCAGACTCTCCAGGCAGAGGTTTGGGCTGTTTCTGTACTGGTATGGCACAAAAAAAGATACCAGTAAAAAAAAAAAGAAAGCCTGATTTAAAAGCCTAAAAGCATGCGAAAAATATAAGCCAAATCCCGAACCTCGCTTGGATGGTAGAAAATCCATACAAACTAAACTAGAAAAGTAATGTTAAATGTTTACCTTCGCATGGTCTAGTTCAACAAATTACTGCTCTGTTTATTACTCAACTTATTCATGTACATGTACGAGTATATGGTAACCAGCCCATCGAACTGTCTTGCTATATTATGTAACCCAACATCACACCACCACTTTCATCTTTTAGTCGTTAATAAAGAAGCATTTTGAGCAAGATAAGAACTAAAATGATTCCCACAGCAGATTTGAATTGAAATGGCATGATTATAACACATCTATTTTTAAGATTTTTTTATACATGTCTCATGATGATCATTGCTTTGTTCTACAGAAAGTCCACAAGGATAAGCCCGAGGGGAGTAGCATATACAAGTGCGAGCAGTGCACGTACGTGACGGGCAAGCGTTTCCTCCTCAACAAGCACCTGAAGGGCCACTCCTCCGTCAAGAAGTACATGTGCGAGATGTGCGGAGGGACATTCGACCGCAAGGTTAACTACGAGGCGCACAAGCGGACCCACACGGGCGAGAAGCCCTACAAGTGTCCCAAGTGCGACTACGCCAGCTCCCAGAAGACCCACCTCAACCGGCACCTCCGCATGCACAACGGATTTCGGCCCTTCAAGTGCGAGAAGTGCTCGTACGCCGCCGCCAACCAGCATGAGATCGTCCGCCACGTTCGGCAGGTAAGACCACAGTAGTAAAAGTAGCATGCCGGCAGAACGCACTGCACCTGCGTGAAACCTGTAATGTATTGTGCATTTGTGCATAGCACTTCAGCAGGATCTCATACAAGGATATATTCACTTATATAAGGTTAACACTATGTCCGTAGTTTCCAATTGTTATGTTGGAAAATATATAGTCTGCAACAGGCAAAATTCTGCTGCAACATTGACTAATAATCCAACAAAAACTGAAAAATGGGGGTTTTGCGCAAGTGCAGTACGTTCTGCCAACGTGCTAGTAAAAGTAACATTGAGTAGGGGCATCAATTCTAGATAGTTTTAAACAACACTTACAGTGCAAAGGTTTGGTGTGTAAACGGTTGTTTGGTGAAATACAACCAGCTGCTACTGCACTGCATGTGCTGGTGTGTTGCGCCAAAGGAAGGTTATAGGCTATAGGCTATACAGATATAGAATGATGAAGAAGTAGAGATAAAAGAAGTTGGCTAATGGCCTGACACTGTACTTGGTGTATGTACAAAGTACATGTATGTAATACCTTACATGGTAGTCTAGACACTTTTCCCTATGTTAACATTGATATGTCTCCAGCAGTTTTACGTGATCAAACCTGCCAATGTTCTGCCCTACCCAGGTGCACCTGAAGATCAAGCCATTCCAGTGTCCATATTGTGCCTATGCCACAGCAGACAGGTCCAACTACACCAAGCACGTGGCCATGCACACCAACCCTCGCCCCTACACCTGCCCTGCATGTGTCTACACAGCCAGCAAGAAGTGCAACCTCTACTATCACATGAAGGTAAGAAACCTAAGAAACTTGAAGGTAAGGAATGTAAGAAACTCTGGAGGAAGCAGGGTCCCCAAAGCTTGGACCAACAGACTGTATGACTCTTCTTCATTACACCATTCATCTCTCATACAACAAATCTTAGTGTTTTTTGCAGTGCAATGCAGACTGAGTCTTAGTGTTTTTGTGTTCATGTTCAGTTTGCATATTTTGTAGTAATTTTACTTCCACTGTGTCTATTGATCAGATGTAAGATCAACACAATTCAGAGGTACAATGTATATGTGTACATGTATATATACTATGTTAATTGAATTAAATAAAGATTGGATTGAATTATATTGAATTGAAAAGTTATACTGAAAGAGTCAGGTCTTAAGAATTCTTGTTATATTTTTGCGTACACAGTCGAAGCACCCTGACCACCCAGACACACAAGAGCATGCTGGGCATGTCAAGCTCAAGGTCAAACCTCCTGGCAGCACTGAAGCCAGCCCAGAGGGCAAGGAGAAGTCAAAGGCCAAAGGTGACGAGGTCAACAACAACTGGAACCAGAACAAGAAGAAGGCTGAGGGGGCAGAGGGCGGGGCAGAGGGCACGTCAGAGTCAGAGGTCAAGACAGAAGGGGAGGAGGCGACCAACCTGATAGATTTCATCACCAACACGGAAGACCAGGAGGAGGAGGAGGGGTCAGAGGTCCCGACCCCAGGGGTGGAAGGTCACAGCTGCGACTTCTGTGGACGTTTCTTCACTGATCGGGAGGTGTGGGAGACGCATGTGCAGCGCCACCTCCGGGCTTCTTAGGTCACTTTATTGGTTCCTCTGCAATAACTCATTTTGGCTTTAGGGGATATCAACAAGTTGTCAACGTTCTGAAACAAGACTTAAAAACATGATGGAAATGAAATGCAAGAAATTTTTTTTTTGTCATTTTGAATGGTTGTGCCAGTAATGTCATTTGATGATTTTTCTTGAGAAGTCAGCCATTTTCATATCGTTTATGAATGGTCAGCCGAATGTAGACACAAAGCACCTGAAGCTCTTGTGCAGGGGCCATTGAATTTGAGGCATCCTTGATAAATTCCTTATTTCTTAGAACCTTTTTGAGCATGATATGGAAATTTTGAGGAGCCAGTATTGCAGTGTTTTCCTTTGTTTACATGGTCAACAACAGTGTCTTCGTAGTTAGTAGCGAAAACATGGACAGTGGCCTTATCACTGAAAATTAACACATGAAGAGATGGGGTATTTTATAACTTTACCAAAACCATGAATGATGTTTTGCAGCATGTGTAACAATTATACCCTACTAATGGGCCAGTACAGCAATAGTGATGTGCCTCTGACAAGTAACAAAACTATTTTCAATGAACTGAAAGTGCCTGATATGAGGTTACAATATTTTTGTCTGTTGTATTCAGCAATGATGCAAGTGACTTCCTACATGTAGACCTACTCTGATTGTGTAAACTTATTTTTGTCTGGTAACCTTGGTGATTTCTGGAGACCAGGATATACATGTATCTTGTCTTCCTATTCTTATCAGGTGAAATGAGGTGAGGTGATTATAGCAAAGAATGGGGAAAAGTGAATACATTACAGAAGTTACAGTAACAATAGTAGAATCAGCTGAGTTTACTCTTAATCTGCATTGGTCAAAAGTGCCCTTTTTTGTAAGTGCCTCCAATGTAGTGCCTTTCATCTTATAACAACAAAACGCCTGACAGTATTTTTGTAAATAGAGATACATTTTCAGATGTAGGTAGCAGTATTTTATGAAACAAGCTGTATTGTACATGTATGTAGATAGGTGGGTAGGTAGGGAAAAGTTGAGAAACGTGCAAAAGGGTTCTTCCACATTAAGATGAAATGCCAAACCATTCCTGGTGGACAAACAGCAACAAAATACATATAGCAAAAATTCAGTGCCTTCCAGATGATGATCATGTGTCAAATGTAGAAGGTGTAATGCAGATAATGAACTCTACACAGTTTGATGATAAAACATGAGAGGAACACAGTTGTGCCTTTATGAACTGTAGATCACAATGTCCATGTTACTTATGTAATGTTCACCCCTATCTGGGTAACACATTGCAGCACAGTTGTATTCTTGATTTGTATTGGGAAGTTGTAATGGATCGACTTCATGCATTTTAAGCATTTTAATTGGCACTTTTCAGGCATTTAATCAAAGTCTTTTTAAGCACTTGTATTATACACTCCACCATTACGTAGCACACCTTTCTGTATATTACTAGTTAGTCTATTATTTCTGTAGGTAACTGAACGGCACTCTTGATTTTGTGGAAAAAATGTACAGATGCATGAGCAACTAGTAATAGAGAAAGCCATGTCAAAAGCGGTGAATATTATATGCTATCTAGTGCCTGCCTTTGTAAATGTGGTGCTGTCCATGTAATTTTGTTTCTCAGCGGTTCATTCAGAGTAAGTCTTCCAAAACTGTCACACAAAACTGTCTTCCAATAGGGATGGTAAACAAATAATTAAATCATGCACACAGGTAATTTGTATCAGCGTAGAAAGTGCAAGTACAGTATAATGTCCGATCCTTGGAAAGTGCAACTTTTTACAGGAAATCAGTGCCTGAAGATAGTGCCTTATGAAGAAATACGTAGAATGCCACATGTCCTAACTCTGTAAGAAGGAAGCAATTGAAAAGATATCTAAACATGGAAAATTATATGGTAAGTTGAAAGCAATGTTTGACAGTTCAATGATGAAATGCTGATTTGAAATGAACTTTGTTGAAAACCATGGCAGCAGCCCAAGTTACACTGATATATGGTGCTTCCACACTATTTTGATAGGTGACAGGTGAATTGAATATAGCATCTAGTTTGTAGCACTTCTTCATGTACTCTGTAGTAAACTGTATAGAAACCACTGAGTTGTGTGCAGTTTCTCTTCTTGATTGTCTATGAAAGAGCATGCAATGCATATGATTGAGTGAATGAATGAATGAAAAGAAAGTGCATGTAACATTATGTTGGGATGAAAGCAATTGTGGAAAGGGACTTTTCTAACCTTGCATGAAATCTTGTCAATAATCTAAAATAGTATGACAATCAAACTTTCTGATATGAAACTTGCACTAGATACGCTAAACATAACTGCGCTCTCTAGCGACAGACAACAGTACTACAGCGTGACGTAATCAAGATGGCGGGAAGTGGGTTGGACGTTGGCGTCGCGTTGCGTCTTGTCTGTTTGTAGCCTGGGTGCACTTTTATCCCTTACATTTAGATCGTATCCTGTACAAGAAAACATCAGACATGGATGCCGGACCGGTAAGGGATAGTTGGAGTTATTTTGCTGCGTGATATTAGCGCCGTTTCATTTTCTATATTCAGGTTTGAAATTTCGGGTCTGGAAGAAGGGGGAGGGGGGCACAGCAGTCGTCTGTACTTGCCAAACATACCCGTACAAAGCTGGGCCGTGGGAAGTTTGTCATCTTCTAAACGTTCTTGGTGGGGCAGTTTTTGCACGCTAAAGGCTTTTACCGATCTGTTCCACCCACTGTTTCTGTTCCCTGTTTTTGGGAAAGTTTCGATGGGGAGGGGGGCGTAACGTAAACCAGGCCAGTGGCCCAAGTTACACCCTGCCAAATCTTCATTTTAACCGCCTTTATTTTTTTTGATAGTCGAAATGAGGGGGTCTGTCGTAAAATTTCTTGGGGATCCAGTGTTGGCCCTAGAGCCAAGGACAACTTTATAGAAAGTCCCAAAGATCTCCTAGCAGATTTGGGTTTGTCTTATATAATTTTATGCATGTTTCTGAGATATTTTCTTCCTTTTTCTATAACTTGTATTGGTCTATGTGGGGCGATATAAACTAAAAATGCGGAACATAATTTTGAAACACATAGGAATGCCTCAAGCCAAACCCTACATCTGCTTGGACATACATGTGTGTGTACTGTACCTTCATTTGTTGTAGTGTTGTCAGTGTAGTGACAGACACAACACTCTGTCATACTCTTGATGAACCAAGTGTGTACGTTTGACGGCGACTTTTTGACCTTGTACACTTCTCCTTTAGATGGTGAAGATATGTGACATCAACCCCCACATCGTGTGTATCCTGTGTGCCGGGTACTTCATCGATGCCACCACCGTCACAGAGTGTCTCCACACATGTAAGCTACACTCAACAGAATACTTAACTAGTCAGCCGAGTAGGGGCATTCTATAACATAACATATTTAGACATACTGATAGCTTTAAGGAAAGTAATCATTATGGTGTTCATTCTGAACAATCAAGCAAGAAAAAGTGAAGCGTGATTCTGAGGAACAGAAAAGATGAAGTAGTCTGACCTTTAAGCACCCCCAATTGCTTGCTGTCAGGTGGTTATGGGCCTTGTCCTCTACCATTGGGCCCATTAGCATAGGAGAGATATTTTTGTCAGCAAGGCCTCAAAAGCTTCAGCAGAAATTTGCAGACATTGTCCCTTTAAAAACATATATGGCTCAACATTTGTTTGTTTTATTTAGTATCTGATTAGATGATGTACATTTTGTAAATCTTAATGTGGTTAATTAATACGAGACGGGGGTTCATCTGTCTTCCATCTAGTGATTCGTAGTGAAACACAAACTTCCAGATAACATTTGGTCTTCCTTCCTCTTCCTCCCAGTTTGTAAGAGTTGCATAGTGAAGTACCTCCAGACCAGTAAGTTCTGCCCCATGTGCAATATCAAGATCCACGAGACACAGCCTCTGCTCAACCTGCGCCCTGACAGGACCATGCAGGACATCGTCTACAAGGTGGTGCCTGGGCTCTGGGAAAGTGAGTCTGTCTGTTTGTTTGTTTGTTTGTTTGTTTGTATCAACGTGGATGGGATGGTGAAACATGGAATTTTCCAGGAAAAAACTGACTTAGAAAATACTTCTTTCAATCACTGTAAAGATATGATATTGGCATATTACATGAGCTAAGATAGTTTTTATGTGAACCTTTAGAAAAAAATTGTGTTGTCTGTATATTTTTCCAGCATTATTGTTAAATTGTATTTATATTCTTTCAGAGCAAGTGCAAGCATTGTACACTCGTTTTTCTACGTACTGTAGATTTCATACTCTAGTGTAATCTTTTTAAGATAAAGTGTCATATTATTTGATTTTAAAGATGCCGTCTTTCCTGTCCATTCTTCAGATGAGGTGCAGAGACAAAAAGAGTTTTATCGCTGTCGAGGCATGGACAAAACACGAGCTCTAGGTAACACTCATACAACCTTTTTTGGAGACATGTCTATACTGTTTTGTACATTAGTACTATTAGTACATTACATAAATCTGTGTGTTGTTGAATGTTTCTGACTAGAAGAACTTGTGTTATTTAGGTCCATCAGCCACTGTCAACAGAGAGGATGTGGACAACTCTAAGAACCACTACTACAGGCATGATGAACAGGTATCCATGTGCCTGGAAAGACACAGGTAGGTCTGAAATGTATTTCTTATTCAGTAAAACTTGTTTGAAAAATTGACAATTGAATCATATGTCAATTTAGGATATGTGATATTTCATAAACTACATTGTCTTTTTTTCTGAAATTCCTTAAAGCTTTGTTGAATAACTGTTGCAACAAGTGGCTGACAATTTGCATAATTATGAAGTTTAGTGTCTACCTCATGTGTGCACATTGTACATGGAGATGGCGGGTCCTACCTTTGTGTGTACCTAACAACAATCCCTAATAATGTGTGTGATTTATAAAGATAATGTTTGATATGCTGTTGCTCTTTGATTTTAGTACCTCTGTTGTGTCGGAGTCTGAGGATGAAGATGAGATTAGAACTTACATGAAGGTATGCCTTTTGTTACAGTGTTGAAAACATGAACTGTACATGTAATAATGTTTGTCTCTGCCTTTGGAGCACTATATTATACATCATAGATTGAGTCTGAGTATCTATTCAATACTGAGAGGCATGTTTGTTTCTTTCCTAGCCATTGCAACACAAATTTATTCGATGCTCTGTGCGGGCGGCAGTTGTACACATCAAAAAGCTCATAGTGAAGAAACTTGCGGTACCAAGGAGACTGGAGGTAAGGACTTTGGTTCAACTACAACTGGGACATATGTGACAAAATGTTTTGTTTGGCACTGATTCTGGTGGTCAATGGGTGTTTGTTACTGTGTTTTTCAGCTACCGTGTAAAGAAAAAAACCTGTTGAACATATCTGGCTAATGTTAATCTATGACACTGAATACCATGCTGTTGTGTTTTCCTCTGTGCAGGTAGAGGTGTTATGTAACGGCAGAGTTCTCCCCAAGTCAGTCACCATGAAGTACATCTGGTTGTCCCACTGGCATGGCAAGGTAGGCTGGTACAAGGTCACTCACTCACTCACTCACTCACTCACTCACTCACTCACTCACTCACGATCACTCACTCACTCACTCACTCACTCACTCACTCACTCACTCACTCACTCACACTCACTCACTCACTCACACTCACTCACTCACTCACTCACTCACTCACTCACTCACTCACTCACTCACTCACTCACTCACTCACTCACTCACTCACTCCGTTTTAAAGTCAGTTGCACCCTTTCTCCCAAGGGCTAGACGTGCTTGCACATTGATGCTCAGCTTTTGCTTTGCAAATGCTACCTTTCTACTTCTAGTTTCATTCAAATTTGTTACTGATTAAACTGGAACATTTTACTTCTTTCTTAGGCTGCTCCCATGGTGCTCCATTATCGCCTCAGGCCGAGAGCGCTGACGTCCAAGAGTGACTCGAGCGGCTAACTGTGCGGAGGGGTCCAGCTGAAGTTCTGCACCAGTGGGGGAGGGGGGCAGGAATTGGGCCGCCCCTTGTAAAATAACGCATAAGGGTCTGAAGCAAAGAAGTTCTTAATAATACTTATATGGACAGTCTGTCCTCATATTTGCTTGTTTTTTTCTTCAGATTTATGTTTATGTATGATGGTAGGTTCAATCATGTTTGGTCATGTAGATACAGACATGTAGTTCAAGTTTTATAGCACATTATATGTTCATGACAAAACAGTCTCACTGCCCAGTCCGCGCTCTTCATTAAATGTCAGCAAATATGTACTTAATTTTGGGGTTCTGTGAAGGTAAATGTATGATGGCATACTGTTCTGTGCAAGGTAGGAGTCTCTCTGCTCATTCATGCCATTTTGAATATGTATGCATGTAAGAGATTGTGTTTGATAAGGCCTAGGAAAAAAATTGTTGCGTTTCCTGTTTCCTGAAAAAACTACAGTAGAAAAAACTTTTGGGGTGGACCCTGCAAGGGTCATGAATGTTTGAAGCTGATCGACCTTTTCTACATGTAGCTCCATGATCTGACATTTGAGTAATGAAACATTGTACAATCAGTTTCACAACATGGACATTGAAAATAAAAGTGTCCTCATGCAAGTTTCACTTCGTTAAACTGTATTGTATAAGTCTGATCACTATAGATTGACAAAGTCTAATAAAACAAGAAAAGATAATTCCTACCTACCAACCCTGATTTTTTCAAGACTGAAACAGGAAACATGACATTTATTTTCCTAGGCCATGCACTATTGTATTTAAAAAGCCATGTATACTTCAGATAATAGCAAATATTGTAACATATTCAAACATGGATATATCTGCAAAATATAAGCATACTTGCATGTTTTATGTATCTTGATATTATCAGGTAGAAAAATACAACATGTACTTAAGAAGCATATTTCAGGTGAAGATGTCTGTTCAAGTCTGCCCTTGTTAATGTTCATAGTGGTTTTATTTGTTGATGTTATATATTAAGTGTACTTCATAAGACTAAACATACACTAAGTGTAGATAAATGGCTCTCGTTGTCTTTTAACAACTTTTAACATTTATTCAAGATGCATTCCATGTTTTACGCAATAAAGACCCATATAGGCAAGGGAACATTTGGAGGGGTCTAGGCCAGATGTGGTGACATTGACAAAAAATAAGTGAATTTTGGAAACATTAGAAGTCAAACAATGTAAACTGTAAGCATATTGAAGTAGCCATGTAGCTACCAATTCTTTATTGGTTATGGGATTAGGCAGCAGGGAGAAGGTTCAATGGGACATTTGGGAAAATGCAAATGATTTGATATGTCTAGATTATGATATCTAGTTGATTTGCAGCAACAAAAGGGAGTCTGCCGAATTGTCTTGGGAAATATGTATGATTTGAATATCGCTAACACTTAGATAGAGTCTTGTGTTTTGCCTTTTTTCTAATAATTACTTAAGTATGGTTCCCATATTGTACTACCAACATATGATATTGTAATTTTGTATATTTCTAAGTGCAAACGCTGGAATTTTCGCACTTGCTATGTATACTAGTTAGGCTATTCTGACGTTTATCTGCTTAGTAATCTTACCCCCATATATATAACAAGAAATATTTTACCAGAACCTTTATTTGTGTCTCTTGTTTCTACATCAATAGTCTGTAGTCAAGGTATTTGGGGCTGACAACTAATGCAGTGCATAGAGTCTATATATATATAGAGAGAGCACTGAAACGACCAGCTTTGCAATGCATGGTAATCAGGTGTAAAAGTAACATCATAGCAAATAGTTAAAGATTTACATGTACAACTGTATATTGTGACAATTTGTGAGATTTAGGCATCTTGACCAAATTTCACTAGGTAAGACAGAACCATATTAGGATAATGCAGGGTTATATACATATATATACATGTATACAATATATACACAGCGCGCCGTTACTCGAGCTCTGCTGCTGAGTATAACACATGAGAAATCTTAGTGTTTCCCTGAGTTGTGTTGTAATGTTGACGAGCATCGCCTTCGAGCGTAGCAGGGGGCAACGTGAGCTCTGCCGCAGCAGCATAAAATGTCACAACGTCATCGTTTGGGTCTTCGGTTTCTTGACAGTCGCATCTTACAACATCGTCTCTTTCGGAACACTGGTGGCCATTCTGATTCTCTCTGTTCACTTCGATGTTCTCTTCATTTTCATCGTCCCCGACGTCTTCGTCCTTAATTTCGGAGTAATTGTGGGTCACGCACGAATCTTCGTCCTTAATTTCGGAGTAATTGTGGATCACGCACGCATCGTTTACCTCCTCGTCCTTTATTTCCGAGTACTCGTGGACGGAAACCGTTTCGTCCCCGCCGTTAGCGTGAGGAGGGCGAGCCAACACTAGGTCGGACCCTCGGTACTTCGGATTCACTACACAGGTAGCTAACTGGTCAAGATGTGACCTGTTAGTGGGATGTGGTACTTCTTCATCCACGTTGTTAAGTTCACTGTTCTGGCCAGATCTGTAGTACATGGGGTTCCTAATAAGACCCGTTGTACTGATGGTTGAATGTGGAACATGGAACCTGTTACCGACACCAGTATTTAAGACGTTTTGAGCAACATTTCTGGCATTTTTTCGCTTGCAGTAGTAGACACTCGCCCGGCGGACTGAGACCAGCATTAGACATGCGAGCAACGTGCTTGAAAAACTGACCACAATGGGCATAAGATACCGAGAATCCGTCCTCTCTTGAGTGAGCAATATTGTGGTGTTAGGTTGTGCGGGTGGAAGCAAGGTTCTGTTGGGACTGTTTTCTACCAAGTTAGCCAACATTGTGAGGTTTTCAACGTCCTCATTGGCCAGATTGGCCAACATTGTAACGTTTTCAGTGGCGGAGCCCGCGATCTGATAGTAGGGCGGTGTGGCAGTGGGCGTTAATTCTACATTTAGAGTATCTTTCGCGGGGCATTTCGAATCGACTTCTCCCTGAACGTCTTTAAAAATGTTCGGCTCTAGCATGGTCCCGTTTCGATGAAAGACAAAGCAGGAGATATTCATCATGCCAGTACTGACACGGTTTATATGACCAGTGGTTGCGCCTAGCTTTGACTTTTTGCTCACCAAGGTTTGCTCAGCGTTACACACCAAGGCAGTGCTGCCGTTGTTCTTTAACAACTTCGGTTCGCCCGGTAAACCGACTAGCTGCAAGGTCGCCCCACCCTCAAGAGCTACGGATATACCATCCTGTCTACCCCAAGCTGCTGGGCACATGTCGTATGAAGTGGTTCCGTTGCCTTTTTCCTGTGTTTCCAAAGCAGTTTTCGCTATGACAAACGGTGCTCGGATTTTCAAGGGACCAAACAGAGTTGACTCGCAGCCCGGTTCTGCCTTATCACTCTTAACAGTGTCCACAAAACCCCAACGAAGATCGAATGCATTTGCCTTGGTTGAATATGTCCATGGAGTTAGAATCTTGATTTTAACTCCATGATATGTCAGACAGAATTGCAGATTGTGGAGGAGAAAGCGAACCTCTTGTTTCCTCCAAGGAAAATTGGTTTTGTCCACCGTAAGGCTCCAGTCCATCTTGTCTTGCTCCGAAAGAAAGCGACGCCGTCCCCCTACAGTAATAACTGTCGGTCCGCGAAGTGTCCGCTTGCCTACACACACCAAGGGGTTTTCAGTCAAATTCAAGACTAGTAGTGCAGGGAGGGAATCAAATGCACTTTCAGAAATAACTTCGATTTTGTTGTAACTCAGGACCAGCGTGTTTAGGAAGGAAAGCCCTCGGAACCACTCACTTGAAACTTCAGACAGCAAATTCCTTGACAAATCCAACACTTTAAGATACTCGATTTCTTCAAAACAGCCGCACTCTAGTGTGGCAATGCGATTATTGGAAAAGGACAGATCGACATTGAATTTATGCGACCTATGGAAACCTGTAAACCAAGCGCGTTTCAGCTCAGGCAACATGTTATAATCCAAATGCACTGATTCTAAGTGTGGACATTTGGCGAATGCTTCGCTGTCGATCGTACGTATTCCTGCATCTATAAGCGCAAGGATTACCAAAGAGGGCGGATTGAATATTTCCAGGGTTTGCGATGACAGCTTGCCCACGTGAACGCCTCGTAGGGCGATCCACTGCCACTGGGCAGCGGGGAAGGGGACGTATTTTGAAAGTGGCGCGGCGGTAAAGTTAATATGAGCAGAATCGCCATCATGCCTTTCGCAAATTGTGCATGTTTTGTTGTAGTCCTTAAGGTAGAAATGATCACGAATCTTGATCATGCAGGCGTCCCAGGCTCGAAATAAGCACTCCGGGGCCTGCAGGTTGGGCGGATGGTCAAGTGTGGATGAGACGATGCCGAAAACAAAACAGATCACCAGGACACAGCAGCCAGTCCACTTCATGCTTGCTTGCCCTTCTTTGGTAGATTGTGAGTTGGAAAGACGACGGCGGCAGGGTTTAAAACTAGAATTTAGATTCTCAAGAATTTTACTGACTACCGTTTGAAATGAACACCGGGCGTGACTGAGTAACGCCGTCACAAGTACACACAAGTCAGGGGCACCAGCAAGGAGGCGAGCAGCAGTCCAAACGACGTTTGTTGAGTCCTGTCCCTGCTTTTATTGTCATTTCCTTGAACAGAACAAGTTAAATCGGTGTAAATCCTTGACGCAAGAAGGAGGGAACCACGTGGGCGTAGTTTTAAGTTAGGTCAACTCGTCTCTATGTGTCATGCAGTGGTTTTCTTGATATTCTGTACATCAAAGGATAACCTACTGAAGCTTAAGGTGTGTATACCTTCAAACATTTTACACTGTGTATACAAGAAATAAGATAATATGTCGTAAACAGAAAGAAATGTTTTTGTCTTGGTTTGTTTCTGGGAGGGATTAACCGAACACTTTCATTTTGTACACGTACATCAGACACAGAATTATAGCTTCGAACGAGGATTTCTCAGGACTTTGTAGTTCAAACCTTGGATCATGTTTCTTTGACGGCACTAAGAATACCACCAAGACGTTAATATGTAGTCTTTTGATTTTTTACACCAGGAAATAAGACCATTGATCTTATTGTCATTCCCTGAGAGATTTTTGCTCACTACGAAAACAATTTTGTTTTCAAGACTAAACAGTATGTAGGTTTGCCAGATTTGCTTTCTGGAATGTTTGCTTGTTTGTTTGCTCGGGCCATCCCGGTGTAAGTGATTTACCGGGGGTAAACCTTAAACTAAGTTTCAGTCCGGTCTTACTTACTGCACAAAACTGGTGGGTTACGTCTAAAGGTGTTTTTTCGTATATCTGAAACAAACAAATTGAATTCATTTTATTAGGATGAATTCTGTCTAGGAAATACTCTTATAAACTAGAAAGGCCGACATTTGCTTGGGAGCAAATACAGCATATCTCAGTCCATTTCCCTCCCACGCAAAAGTGGAACTTGTTCTTTTGCTATATTATGATCAAATTAAACTTTTCACAAGTAATGAACGTTGTTTTTCACAACTTGCACGACTCCGTTTGAAGGATCGTAGGGACGGACCGTTTTTTTCAGGGAGACCAAATCTTTCAGCACGCCTGAAATAATCGGTCCGCCCTTCTGAAAATCGCAATGTTGTCTTCTAAGAATTATACTTTTGCTAAATTATGGCCAAGGTAAACTTGTCTCTATCAATTAAATCCATCTTCATAACTTGGACAACACCATCTCAAGGGTTAGAGGGGACGGACCGTTTTTTTTTCAGGGGGACCAAATATTTCAGAACGCCTGAAATAATCGGTCCGCCCTTCTGAAAAGAGCAATGTTGTCCTGAAATGTCGTATGGAACTTGTTCTTTTGCTATATTATGATCAAATTAAACTTTTCACAAGTAAGAGGTACTTTCAACAGGGACGCTGGACTCCATAACTCATGGCATGGGATATGAAAACGTCACTGAACAAGGAATATCAAAGTATTGGTGTTCTACTTACAACATGTAGTTTCAACAGAATAAAACAGACCAAACTAGTTCACACCATGTCACATGTAGCCTCTACCAGGCTCCGCGGATCGCTGGAAAAATAGTAGAAATGGGCCGAAATAAAGGGAATAGTATACCAGAGAAGATCCAGCTGGCCATAGAAGCTCCAATTTGCGACCAAATTGGAGCTTCT